TTAATACTAGATTATTTATTTTTACAAAATTGTTAAATAATTCATAAAAATGAATTTCTGCCTTCTTGTTTTATTTAAAGTTAGAATAAAAATACATATTTAATAATTTTCAAGTGGAATTTATTAAAACGTTACGAATATATGCAATCATTTAACAATTATTCATTGAGATATACAAGGTATAATACTAACTCGTAAGAATAAACAAAAAGAATAAATATTAGAGTTAGATCCGTGAAACAAAGTCGAAATTATTCTTCGAGTTATTTTATTTTATTTTCAAAGACAACAAATCACATTTAATCCGATTTAATTCTAAATATTTACATTCTATGATCACATGATGAAAGCCGTACTTAACACTATTGAACTAGTTAAGTGGCATTTTAAATTTAATGTATTTATAATATTTTCAATGCAACAGGCAACGAAAAAGTTCGAATTTTTATAATCTGCAATTGAAAATTATTTAATTGGCACTTTTTAAAGAAGATTTCTATTAATTTTACAACAATCCAAGTGCATTTTAAAGTTACACACAAGCCTATTTACGTCGTGCAGTTTATATAATTTCGAACACATTTATTTTTATAATAAGAATTTTAATCTGGAAATCGCTTTCTTTGAATTATTTCGAATTCCTGCTAAGTTCTATATTTAATAACTGATACAAAATTACATTTAAAATTAGGAGAACGCGTTTAAACGTAATAACATTCTCAATGACCGTATTGAAGTGTATCATTTGCTGCAGTGATAACTTTATCGCGGTGTTTGTTCTAGAGAGTGGGTGGGATCTATCTTGTTATACCCTTAACGGGTTTTGTTTAGTTAATAAGTGTCGCTCGTCTCTCGTTAGAGAGTGATGTAGTACCTACATCGGCCTGCCAGGAAAGAACAACACCGTTATTCTGTCAGTCGGATCTTCGTTATTGAAAGTTGTTCTATCGAGTCAGAGGTTATCGAACGCACTTTATCCTCGGTTGTTTAGGAAATTGACTATTCCTTTCTCTCTTAGTATGTTGGGTAACATACCATGTGATTATATCTGACTTTCGAACATATTTCATAACTTTCTCCAGTTAATCTATCTTATAATTTCTAGATATCTATCTCTGAAATGTGACGTCTTTTGATTCATTCTGTTTATTTGTTGTAATAATACAATGCTTTAACTAATCTCGATCGAGTAATTAAAACTTATGTTTTATAATCATTAACGTGTATTTTTTTTTAAATTAAGCGTTTGACATTTTTTCCTATCGATATTTTATGGGAAAGAAATTTAGAAAATGTCAAGGGCCGTTTATTGCACCGAACAAAGTTAATAAACATTTTCCAATTTAAATAGGTTGCATATCTTTAAGTTCAAGATTTTGTTTCGTTTCGATAACTGTTTCTAAGCCGAAATTCAATTCTGTTCGTTTTGCAACGAATTGAAATCTGCAGCAATTTTTCTGTACGTATCGAGTATTCTTAGCTTATCTCTAAGTTACGCGACACGTTAATAGAAGTATTGATTTTAAACTGATATAAAAACTTATCAATGAGGAATTTATTTGTGGCTAAACGCGGGAAAAGTTTGGCTAAGAATAAAATCTCAATTATAACTCAGCATAATCTAATACTGTATTGAAGTTAAGCGCAAACAGATAATTAAAATTCTTAGTTAAAAACTTGCTTTGATTTGATTTTTATGTATTTAAACGAGTTTTTAATCTAAATTCTTTTTTAAAATATTATTATCCTTCTAATTTATTTATATATAATTCGTTTATATATTCTTTTACAATGAAAAATATTTTTGAATTAAAAAAATCCCCAAAAAAATTATGGCCTAAAGTCGGAATATTACTGTGCTTAATTGTTCTCAATATAAAATTCCATATTTAAAAAATGAATCAATTGATACTAGTTTTTACTATAGTATTAATCATATTGATTTTTTTTAAAATTAAAATAATTAATTTCTATTATTTATCTTTTGTTTCTTGCAGATTTTAACCGAATTATCTTTAATGTTATTAGTGATGTCTTGGATTGGAATCGTGGAAGGTTTAGGCTTTGATTGGCCAAAGATGTTGCCCGTCACAAGATCTGTGGCAGATTGTGTTGCCGGTGGTGGCATCTGGGACTTGTGCGAAAGATGTGCAAAATTTACAAAAAGCGACGTTGCATTTCCATATTGCTGTAGAAACACAAATGGAGTTAGAGATTGGTGCAAAACCTTTCTAGAATTTTCTCTTGGTTAACAAGCTATAACGGAAAATCAAAGTTGTGCATTTATAAATACAACTGTGCATTTATACGTATTGAAATCACGAAAAGTGACTTTTCATTTTTTCTGTTTAAAATATTTATTTAAAACGTCAACTGTAAATGAAAATATATTAGTCTAATCTTAAAAGAAATGTGAATAAATTATGTATTTATGAAATATTATTTAATAAATTGATACAATTGTATTAATGTTCATGACTTTTTGAATTTATAAATTTATAAATCTGTTTTGTTAAGAATTTCAAGACAAAACACAAGAACGATAACAATGATGATACATATTGCAAACCAACATTGTTATCGTCATGAATGGTATAACATCTTTTTGATTTATTAATATCGATATAATTTAAATTCTTAAAAATCTATAGTTTTAATCAATATATATTATTGAAAAATTAATGAAAATTTTTGAGTTTTAATCTATATCCGCGTATCAGTTTGCACGGAACGATTACCATTTACACAAATAAAAACTCGAAATTTCATATTCAATCTTAAATCATATATGATTTAACATTGAATATAAAATCTTAGAAATATTTTATGCTATTGATGATAACGATTGCATTAGTTTTCAGTGTAAAATCGCAGCAGAACAGAATTTCATATTGTAAGATTACGTGAATTATTATTATTTTATGAAAATAATTCCTACTAAATACACATTTCACAAGCATACTATTGATAATATTATAAATATATATTGTTATTTAATCATTATCTATAATATAAGTAAGAAAAAAATATTAGAAAAATAATTTTTCAATTAAAATAATTTTTTTTAAATTCATATCTGACACTAAACTTTCACGTTCTTGAAGCTATTTTTCATAATTTCTGAATATTATTCGAGAAAAATGGAATTTAAAAAATATGTATAAAATATAACCTGTTGATTTTCAGAATATATTTATATATATTTTCTCACCCCTACTTGAACCGATCGTACATTGGTAATCGGGAATTCACGTGTTAACGTTTGTCTCTTTTAGATATGGTTAAATCAAATTGCAAAAAATAAATTAAATTCTTAGAAGTGATAACGAATAAATGTATAGTCTATATTGGAAAATAAAGTAATAAACTTGTCCGAAAATATTCTTTTAAACTATCAAAAACGGTCGAAAACATGCGAGATACTCAAATTTTTTATCCAAACGCATTAGCATAATATGAAAAATAATAGTAGTTACTAAATATAAATTTAGTAACTACTATGTTAGAACGTAGTCGAACAATGTTTTAAGATTACTACATTAAAAAAAGGAAAGTATATATTTTATTTATAATATATGAAGCGTATATTATAATACAGTAATATGTAACTTATTAAGATCAAAATTAAGTATGTAAGAAATTTAAATTATTCCAAAAACTACAGAAAATTTCATTGTTTTGCTAACGGTTTATCTTAACACAGTGACTCACTTGTACAGAATTTGATCAAAAAAACCCTTTTATATATAAAAGCTGTTGCTATGAGAAGGTATGGTCGACCTTAGCCCGTCATTGTCCTTGATCACACACTCTGTGCCTGTTTACTTGTTTGCCTGGAAGTGCAAAGTTCGAAATGATATTTCTGGAGATTTCAATGTCTGTTTTTTATCTGTCAGAATTACATTACGGAAAACGCATTTTACAAATTTTCTCGGTAACGGAGGAAACCAGGAAGGATCGTGTTTTGTATGGCTCTCTTCTTGCTAATGATAGAAAATTGATATTGATGAAGTTAATAACGTCGTTTCTCATCAATTAAATATTAAATATTCTTTTTATTTTCTATTCGTTTTATTTTCAAGAGATAATATTTAATAAACAATTCTATAATTATGAACTAAATGAAAATATAATTTCGTAACTTACATTTGTAAGAATGTCGAAGGTGATGATCATTATCACCCTGTCTTTCTATTTTAAACCAGTGTTATAATAAGAAAAATGTAAACTTATTCATATCAAAATAAAAGAATAACATTACATAAGTAATGAAAAATATATAAAATTTTTATGAGAAATTCTAACGTTGTTTATTTTTCTTTGGCAATTTGAGAGTGCACCAAAGATTACAAGTAAAAAGCTATATTATACATTCAAATTCTATTTAATGAATTATAATTATTTTATTTCTAATCGATAACATTAATAGAAACAAAAGTTTCCACATTAAAACTATTAAAAACTTGAATTTTAAATCATTCCAAGAAATTTAATATAAAATCATTATTCAAATAAAACAATTATGGATTCTTATTTAACAAAAACAAAGATTTGTTTTTAACTAAATATGTTGTTTAATTAAATATAAATTAAATATATAAATCAAATTGTTTGTTGATATTTTTTATCAACAAACAATTTGATTCAACTAACCGAAACAAAATATAATTGAATAAAAACTAGTTTTATGAGTGTTATCTGCATTCGGTCATTTTCTTTATAAAAAAAAAAGTTATTGAATCAATGTCAACTAAATGTTTACATCATAATAATATGTAAACGTATCTAAGTGAAACAGTTTTCTACATTCAAAATAATAACTAAAAAAACCCCAATTAGAGAACTTTTCACCTAAATTTGGTTTTGCGTATTGCTTGTACTGTACCAACGTGGAGTGAGTTAGATAACAGCGAGTGTTATCTAACTCTTGATTGGTTCAGATATGACGTCAAAAGTAAGATACTGTATAAAAAGGGAATGAAAGAATCAAGATAAAGAGAAGGAAGTTCTACTGCCGTTCAGAAAAGTTTATATTCTATAGATAATATATTCAGTAAGTTCATTTTCTACTCATATATATGGTTCGATATTGCTTTAGATTTTATTTTAAATTCAAGACAAAACACAAGAACGATAACAATGATGATACATATTGCAAACCAACATTGTTATCGTCATGAATGGTATAACATCTTTTTGATTTATTNCTACGTAATTATATTTTAATCTATTCTATAACATTTTTTAAATTTTTTACCTCCTGTAATTAATGTAATTGATTTACTTTTAGAATTAACCTCTGCACCAATTTCTAGCCTTGTTCTTGTTTTCGCAACAATACGGAAAAGCTACGTCGCTTTTCGTAAATTTTGTATAAAAATATTTATTATAGTATTTCCCGGAATGATAATAATAATAATGATGAAGCCATTGTGCTGGATCTTGAATGTGTATCATTCCGCCACTGTAGCTAATCAAATTCTTCGAAACGTAACGTTTGAATTTTTCAAAAAATTCAAAATATTACGTCATATAACGCGTGTGACGTTTCTTGATTTTTTAAAAAAATAAACTCAAATTTCTTACAAAAGTACAAAATTTGAAATAAATTTTAACAGTTTAAACATACCTTATAATTATCGATTATATGTTCTATGTATATTACGTTCTACTTCGTAATGAACACGGAATTATTTTCCTTGGCGTATTTAGACTGTCGTCACCATTTTTATTCTAGGAAAGACTATAGAATATTTTATTTATTTGAAACGAACAGAAACAACCAAACATAACCATTATTAGTCTTTAAAAAAAACTGAATATAATAACTATTTTGAAATTTATTCAGTTAAAATCTAAGCATAATTTAATTTTTTATGTTAATAAAGCGAATTAAAATTCAGAATTTAATAATCATTTCTATCTACACTTAGGCCTACATGAAAATTGTCTTAAAGTCCTAAGTTTATTATTTATTTTTTTGTTTTGCAGATAATGATCGTCCGGTGCTTGTTTCTTTTGGCACTTTGCTCGTTGACGACCATCGTTACCGTCCATTCGATTCCCGTAACATCTCCAGTAGATGATAAACTTACGAACATTGAATCTTTAAAACAGAAAATTGACATGGCTCGGACGGTGGACGGTCCAGATGAATGTGTAATTGACACTGCAATTAGGGACACCTGTGAAAGTTGTTCAAAAGTAACCAAATCTGTTATCGTTTATCCATTCTGTTGTAAAGCAAAACTTGGTATCAGGAATTGGTGCGTGGAGTTTCTCAATTATTCATTGAAAGAATCGAAAACTAATCGCTATATATAGCCATATTATATATATAATTCCTACCAAAAATTATTCATTCAAGATCTTAAAGTAGGGATGGCATGAACTTTTCGCTTGGATTTGTGATGACAAAATTAGAAAATGTATTTATTTGAAAAACGTCTTCCAGTTTTGATACAAAATATTTATTTAGCAGAGGAATTAAATTGTGTATGAAGTTTTTAATTAAATAAAAATATTTGTGTAAATGTATTCTTTTCTTATGTTAGATAAGAGTGAGCTAAAAAGTACAAAATTCCTTTTGTAACACTTTAATAGTAATTTTTACGATTATATAATATAATTTAATGATAAAAGCAAAAGTTATGATTCAAATTATATTTTTAATTTATAAATACCTTCTAAATCAGCCAATTTGTGTGCAAAAATATCATTAAAGAATGATTTCTTTATTTATTTACAAAAATTGCAAATTACAAAAAAACTTTTTATGATCTATTTTAGCATTTGAGAAGCGAAAATCGTTTTAAAAATAAAAATCAAAGTAAAGTAATTTAAAATTAAACTGTGTTAAAATTAATAAAAGGATAGTAAATGTTAATATCCCAATCAACTTTTCTATCTCCTCTCTCTTTATCTTCCTCGTAAGCTATAAAAAGGCACTCTATGGATTTTACTAACATATTATCTGATATTATATTATTTACATTTATTTATAAGCATGTATCAAGTAAATTTGAAAGTATAATGATACACTATTTAAATTTAATAACAAAAATTTGAACATAAAATAGTCTTAAAATATAAATGGTGAAAATCACAGTTGAATTAATATCAAGTACTGTAATTGTAATATTTCATTTTTTACGTATTTTTGTTACACGTGCCAGACAATTTTTTTTATAGAATTAATATAAACGTTAATATAAAAAATATCAGATTTCATAAACAAAATACTGTATAATGCAAATATATGTATAAATCTGCCGATGTAGCAGCGGTTAGTATTAAAATGCTAAGTATGCAAACAAAATTAAATAATCATAAAATGTATATTTAAATTTTTAGAATTATCTTTATTGATGTTTTTAAATTAGGCTATACGTAATATTTGATAACAGTAAATCAATTACTGTACTGTACTGTACCTCGTGTATTAATTATATCAGTTTTATTTCTTTAAACTTGAAATTTTCTCACGACGACTTAGAAATAAATCTTTCTACACAGAAGAGGAAAAAATATATATATTGATAAATATTTAATCAGCACCTAATCAATGTATTACCGCAGCATGCAATTTATTCAGGAGCAAGTAACAACAATTCTAAACTTCTAAAACTTATTTGAATTTTTATATTAAAATGTTAAAATTTCGTAAATAATTTAATTTTTATTCATAATTTCTAATTTTTTAAAAAAAATCTTCGAACGAAAGAAGAGTGCCAGAAAGTCATTTTAAATGACTTAGCTGATAATAATTCTTTATGATAACCGAGTGCCATTAGCCCCACTAAATAAATATTTGATGTCTTATCTATTGTGTGTTTAAAATATTCTTCTTTTTTTCTTCTTAATTTGGAAAAGAACAGATTTTAATTTTAATTGGAATTCGGTACAAAACTTATCTGTTTTATGGATTTAAAAGATTAACAATAATTATTGTGATTAGATAATCGTACATTTTAATCGTCATGTGACAAAATAATATTGCATTTTGATCAATATAATCGAGTTAGATCAGCTGTCTTTTTGTTATTTGAAACAAATGAAATGAGTTTATTTGAATTTCATTTTGTTGATAGTTTATCGTTTTTAAACTGGAAAACAATGCATTGCTGATTTAAAATATTTTCTTAGAATATATTTATATTTTTCGATTATGAACTTTAACGTTTCCACGAATACTCTTCCGCTGCTTCTCTCGTTTAGATTTGCACAAATTAAAATAATAAATAGAAACTTTTGTATTAAATGATCACTGATTTTGACATCGAATAATTATTTTTAATGCTTATTGAATATTCAGATAAAATTTTAGACATCATCAAAAATTACATAACGCCATTTTTATGCTTTCGACAATCACTTCGCCCTTCTGTAACGTCTCGTAATGCTGTTGCGCAGATACCTAATCCAAAATAACGTAACGCATTTTCTCGCTCAACTTAATTGTACAAAGGAATAATATAAATTACGTAGTACCGAATATTATTTTATTAATTACATGCATAAAGCACAAAGCAGTGACATAAACAATACGCAACATGTCAGAAACATTCTGTAACCCAATGTTGAGACCCTAGCGTTACGTAACGTTTTTGTAAACAATTCCATCCCCTTGTAACGCATCGTAACGATTACTTACCCACCCACTCGTATGTGTATCATGTAATTTATGAACAGCCTTTTATTCCGTTTTATTTATACTAGTTTAGCATAAATTAATTTTATGACCGAGTGAATAACACTGAACACTGGTCGTGGGTTGGCTCCTGGCGAACATGCTGGCCACACGGAGTTTTCCGGGCTTTACGTGTATAACACTTAAATATAGGCCAGTTTCCTATAGAAGCTCTCCTGGAAAGCACCCCCTCCTTGGCAGATGGTCCATGAGTTCCGTTGACTTATTCCATCAATCCAATCCATAAATTAATTTCTTACAAAAATAATAAAAACATAATTTAAAAAATTATTATTAAAATTTAAATCTCTATTTTTTTCTGATAGATTAGACTATATTAATTAATAGAATACATAACCTATTCTATTCATTTGACAGTCATCAAGCTAAAGCATAAACTCTGATAAAACGTAGAAAAAAAAAGAAAGAAATAGTCTAATATTATCAATAATATATAAATAAATAAATAATCATAAATTAAAAATTCGAATAAAGGTAACAAAATATGTTTTTGGTTTGATAGATAAAATTACAATAATCAAATGAACAACTTCTTGTGCTTAAACATTAATGATGCTTTCTCATTGCCTATATTCTGTACTTTCATAATTTTTCGTCCGATGATAAGTAATATGATATTAAATTAAATTTTCTACGATGCTTCGAATCTAATTTCTTAATTTTTTTAAATACAAAAAACAGTATGTTTTTCTTAAATAAAATCTAAATTTAATACCATATTATCTCAGTTTTGTAAATAAAATGATATAAAT